CCCCCCCCCCCCCAAATAATCCCCAAATTAATTAATTACAGTCTGTTAAAATCAGAGAACATCAATGTTGAGAATGCAGGTCAAGCAGGTCAAGAGCAGATTACTTAGTGCAATTTCCAGGCTGGCCTTGAGTTCTGATTGTTTACTTCACAGTGAAATTTATTTTCCTGATTTATGATATCAGAATTTCCCAGGTACTAGCTGGTGCCTGTTGCAGCTTGTCGTTCTCCTGAGCAGAGCTTTTGCTCCCTGATGCCACTAGGGTTCTTAGGTGCTGCCATAGAGCTGCTTCTGCTGCCTGGAGGTTCTCCTTGTCCCCAGTGCCTGATATAAAGATGACCCCAAACAGGGTGGATCCCTTCCAGGTGCTGCTATGCACACACATCTGTGTTAAAAGGTACTGTTAGGCAGTGTTTGCTCATCTTTGCCCCTGAAGGGCACCCCAACTAACCAACTGGATCTGGATCTGGATCCTCAGCTGGATCTGGTGTCCCTGTTCCCAGCCTGCAGGGCAGTGCCTGTCAGTCCAGACAGTGGTCCTTGTTGTCCTCCACACCACATTTGACTCTGGGAGACCATGTCACAGGCTTTGTTAAATCAAAATAAACTGTTTACACTGCTCATCCTTTATTCACCCAACCAGTCCTGTATTCATGCTGAGCTCTCAGTTAACACAATTTACATATATCATGTTTATTCCTGGCTATTTATTGTTCTTCATACCTGGGTTTAATTTTCTAGAGAATTTGATTTGTGACCTTCCCAGGGACTGAAAGTGATTAACCTGTATGTACTGAAGTAACGAGTGCAGAATTAGAGCTGTTTTGCTCAATGACCATGGTCAGAAGTTTGGTTTATTATCTGATTAATTTTTCTCCCTGTTTGCCTCACTTGGTTAAAAATACTCTGTTAGAACAATGCAAAGGGTCTGAGATTAAAATTCTGTTAACTCAGAAGAAAACTGTTCTAAGAGAAGGACAATTCATTTGAGGTTACTTGGGAACTTCCATACACATAGCTGTTTAAATATGGAATATGGAAATGCTGGTTAGAGTGTTCTCAATATGCAGAAGGGAAGGTAATAAGAGGCAAATCACAAGTGTTCATAAACTGTAGCATGACATTGAGCACTATAATATACAGGCTATTCAGTCTTGCTACAGTACTAATACCTGTGGTAGTAAGTCTGCCAGACACTGCTATGCTGTGAGGAAGGAAAGAGGTTGAAGGACATTCAGCTGGGCAAGGCCACAGGCAAAAAAGTTTGATAAGACTCTGCACATACCTAGAAGGCATTAGGGGCTAAAATGGAGGCAGAGGAGTGTGATTCACAAGTGTCTGACAGAGAACAATAAAATTAAATTAAGAGAGAGTCTATTGAGAAACTGACTGATTTGTGAGATATTAATAAGCTGTGGACACACTCCCATGTGAATCTGAAGGACAGCACATGAGCTCTGAAAACTGGATGACTAGCAAATATGAAAATTTTATTAGTCCAATATGAGCAGGGAAATGAAGGGAATGCTTTTCTGAGAATCCATGTGCCTAGCAACTGTGATGTTCTGAAGATGATCCATTGAATTTCCGTGAAAAAGTTGCCACTGATTCCAGTCAAGGTAGATCAAGACATTAGTGCTAATACAGGCCATGTTTTTCAGAGCAATTTGTCCAGGAACAAAGGTGGCAATACACAAGGAATGGTTGAACAAGTGCAGGACCATAGAGGATACCTAGGGAAAATAGTATTCAGTAAGTCATTAGCTGTACATGGGAAGCTATAGAGATATGTTAACTGAATATCTGTTTTCCCTGATAGGAAGGGTTAATTGGTTATACTTTGAAGTGTTATCATATGGGGCTATTTATTCAGGAGAACATGCTAGGTTCATGGAGTTGGATTTATTAGAGCTAAAAAACTATTGTATTTTATATTTGACAATGTAGTACATGAAAGTTCAATTTGGTTTTCCTTGTTTGTCAAGAGGTTGTTTTCTTTGTCTCACTTAGGCATTTCACTTGCGGGAGCCTCGAGTGTGCATGGAGCCCACCTTGTTCTCACACAGATTGTTGCCCTACTAATGAAGAGGTTTCACCATACAAGGCGAGACTGGAGAGGAAGCCTATCAAGTGTGCTGCTGCCCGTCCTCTTTGTTGCACTGTCAATGGCCTTGTTTAGTGTGAAGCCACTGGCTATTGATTATCCCTCTCTCAAGCTGACACCAAGACTTTACAACAATGCAGAATCCTTCTTTAGGTAAAGGGCTCATCCATCATCATCAGTATCCAGGGTTCTGGGACCTTTACCCTTGAGTTCTCCTATTTTAAAGACTTGTATTCTAGAAAGAATGATAGGTTACTTTTTACAGTACATAGGTGGGGGTTTTTTTAGATGTTTAGTATACTTTTATAGATTGTTTTAAGGGAAAGACAAAATTAGAAAAGCTTTGTGTCAAGGATTTTCTGGAGGAAAGGGCAAAGACTTTGGAGAAGATTGAACTCAAATCAATACCAGCCATGACCATTTATATGTAAATGAACAAGTGTATTTGAACAAGCTTTTGCATTCTTCATTTTATAAAATTGCTTAAGTCTGAAGTTATTTTCTCAAAACAATTATTGAGTTTGAAAATACCACACAGTATTTACAAAACCTGCTGCTCTTCTTACTCAACCTGATTTCTGTATGTTCAGCTTTGAAACCAGTTAGATTATTTATATTTAATGTGTGGTATCTATAGAATTAATCTGTATAGAGTGCTAAGCACATATATAGATCACTTTCTCTACTGTGAAAATAAGCAGATGAACCTAACAAGATGCTGTTTGAATTTTTAAATAAATTTATTTTATAAGCATAAAAACACTTCAGCAGTGCCATCCACTAGGAATGCATGATTTTAAGGAGAAGGATGCTTATGGGTAAATGTTGAGATTTGTTTAGCCAAAATTGCAATGAATTTTCTTTACATGTTCACATAGAGTTTTTTTGAAACCAGATTATTTCGGTGTATTTCCTATGCGTGGATTTTATAGTCTTTTAATTTATTGGAAAATACATAGAACCTTGAGACTGAAGGTTAATCGAGCTAGACGTTTTAACATGTCTTTATTTCTTTTTTTTTCTTTTTTTTCAATTTTTCTTTCCCCTTCACTCTTTATACCTCTATGGCCCTCTGAACAGCACTGAAGATGATAACCTAGGAAAACTTTCTCAGGTTCTACTGGGATATTTCTCTGATTGGGACCACACATGCACACATTCACAACATGGGTAATTGTAACTAATGTAACTATTTCCTTAATTTAAATATTGAATATTTATTTGTTTGTTTGTTTGTTTGTTTGTTTTCTTTATGTGTAACAGATTATCTTAGGCTTTTTTTTTGGCAGTATGGAGTTAGTGACAAATGGCTTCTGGTAAAGGAGCTGGCATCCAGGTGAAGAACAAAATAGCATTTACTGTTAAAGATGTGATCCATACAGCTTAAAAGTCCGTGGGAATTTTCTGTTTAATTTCAGGATGATTTTGATCAAGCCGGTATCCATATGAAGGATGAAAAGACAAATAGGCAAATACTTGTTAGGAATTCTAGATTTCCAAATTCAGGAATGCAGTGATGACTATGCTTTAATAATTGCTGCGAATATGGGACATGAAGTTCATTTGATGCCTATATAAATATTTTTAATAAATCAATTTTTTTAAAAATGAGTAAAATTAGTATCACTCTAGACACAGCTTCTGTTGTGGTTAAATGCTGAGAAGGTAATTCATTAGTACATTTGCAGACTAAACTGAGAGTTTGTGTTGATCTATTGGAAGGGAGGGGGGAACTGCAGAGAGACCTGGCATGGTTGGATGGATGGGCAGAGTCCAGTGGGATGAAGTTTAATAGGTCCAAGTTCTGAGTCCTGCGTTTTGGCCACAATAACCCCCTGCAAAGTTACAGCCTGAGGACAGTGTGGCTGGACAGTGCCCAGGCTGGAAGGGACCTGGGGGTACTGGTGACAGCCAGCTGAACATGAGTCAGCAGTGTGTCCTGGTGGCCAAGAAGGCAAATGGCATCCTGGCCTGGATCAGGAATAATGTGGCCAGCAGGGGCAGGGAGGTCATTCTTCCCCTATACTTGGCACTGATGAGGCTTCACCTGGAGTGCTGTGTCCAGTTCTGGGGCCCTTAGTTTGGGGAGGACATTGAGACACTGGAGCATGTCCAGAGGAGGCAGCAAGGCTGGTGAAGGACTTGGAACACAAGTGAGGAATGACTGAGGGAGCTGGGGTTGTTTTGCCTGGAGAAAAGGAGACTCAGAGGTGACCTTATCACTCTCTACAACTTCTGGACAGATGGTTGTAGTCAGGTGGGGTTGATCTCTTTCTCCAGGCAGCAACTGATAGAACGAGACGACACAGTCTAAAGCTGCGTCAAGGGAAACATAGGCTGGATATTAGGAAAAAGTTTTTTATGGAAAGAGTGATAAAGTACTGGAATTGTCTGCCTGGGAAGTGGTGGAGTCAAAATCTCTGGATGTGTTTAAAAAAAGTCTGGATGTGGCACTCAGTGCCAGAGTCTAGTTGTGGTATTAGGGCATGGGTTGGACTTGATGATCTTGGAGGTCTCTTCCAACCTAGTCATTCTGTTGAAATTCTGTTGAAAAGTGTTCAGCATGTCAGATCTGCTCATTACTCTCTGGATTTCTTCTGTTAAGTGACATATTCCTTTAATTTGCTAGTTATAATTTTATTATGTTGATTCCCCTTAGAAAGAATAATTCATGCTGGCAGATGGAATCACCTCAAGATTCATGCAGATGTGTGTCTGAACAGGAGGTATGTAATTTTTTTATTTACTTATATATGTAAAAAATATCTGTGTGTATATTACCTTGAATTCCTTGGCTACTGTTTTTGAAGGGCTGGTGAAAGTGATGAGGAAATAAATCCTCACAGATTTGACTTTGTAATGACTGAAGATTTACTTCTGTTTCACCTAATGAAAATTTCTTCTTTATCTATATGAACATATGTGTGCACTAGAAATGGCTATAGATTGATCTGAAATAGAGACAGCTTAACTGTTTTCAGAAGATGCAATTTACTTTAAATATGCTATAGTACTCTGATTAAGAAAAACTGCCATGTAAAACAAGGTTAAAATGTAACATTTCCATAACATCTGGAAGACTACCTACTTTCAAAAGGAAGGGTGGGTGAACCTGGCTGGTAGAACCCACCATGTAATTTACAAATGAATGAGATTTAATTGTTAGAGTTTGCTTTTGGTTTAGATTTTGGATTTCAAAATACAACAGGCTTCAAGAAATGCAGGATTTTGAAAAATATAATGAATTTCTGACCTTCTTTTCTGCTGATTTGCTATGAGTAAGAAACAAAAATATGAAACTGTCTGAGGTGACCAATTTATTTCCACAAAAGGGAATTTCCTATTAAAAAAGTATATTTTGTTTAAAAATGTCTAATTATTTAGAGTAAGAGTTGCATATAAAGTACAGCAATAAAGTTTTGGGAGAAATGGAAGTAGGAAACTTGTTTTTTCACTTTTCTGGACAAGGAATAAGTTTGTCTCTAATACTAAAGAGACTTAAAATACAAGTAGGCTGAATAAAATACAGATGGGAACTTTCACAGGGAGAGGTCTATTAACCATAAAAACTGAAAGAACTCACTTGACAGTGGAGGCAGAACTTCTGTCTGTGAGCTATGTAAGAGCAATCTTTGAGAGTGAATTTTTATTTTCTGTAGGGTTGAGATGTCAAATAAACATTAAAATTTTTCAGTTGATTGGCATAAAGTACTTTGTAAAGTTTCTGAGATAATTGAGTCTAATATCTGTCACTTTTTCTGTGGTTGTGAGAATGTCCCACTGAATCATTAGAGGACATCTTTTATTCTTCTCTGCATCTCATCAATGAAATTTTTAGAAGCTTATAACATTAATTAGAATTTTGTTTTCATCTCATATTTATCTGGTGCCTATTTTGTGTTTCTTCTCAGGAAAAACAAATAAAAAGGAGTCTTGCCTTTTTCATTGCTGTAAACTTTCCTAAACTTATATACAAGTTTTGATGTTTTCAAAACAAACTGACTGACAGGGCTGCAAGAGAAATCAAAGGGATTTCTAACATGTAGGTGGCACAATCATTTGAGTTGCCTTATAAACATAAAACTATTCATAATTTATTGAAAATCTGTTAAAGCTGAGAAAGACAAATCCAGTTTTAAAAAAATGCTGTAAAATCTACATAAAAATAAAAAAATAAAGCTAAATATAGTGCCACTGTTTTTAAAAAGTGCTTTACTTATTTTATGTATACTTTTTTTCAGATATGCCCAAGTTTCAATACCTCTGCTCCCTACGTAAAGAATAAGAAAGGACATATTTTGTATAATCTTTCAGGGTTCCCTGTGGAAGAGTATTTAGTGAGGTCTTCCAGCAAAACAAGGTAACCATAAAATATCTAGCCTTTGTTTATCCCTTGTGTATGAACTCCACAGTCCTTTCTGAGCCAAAGCATAGACATTTGTCATGGAGAATATAAGTTGTCTTTGTCTGGTGATTGTTATCAAGGTGTAGAGTTAAACTGCTATTCAAGGTAACATGAAAGACCCTCAATGGTCACATCTCAGAACTTCCTCCAGCAGCTGCATGGATGATGATTACCTTGAGGCATACTCTGGAGTTTCTTCCATGTAGTGAGTTATTTCAGCATCTCAGAGATGCATATCTAAACCAGGTGAACAATATAATTTCCATTCCTCAGAGACTCAATCAAATAAAGGTGGATATGCTCCAATTAATATTTTCTTTGAAGTAAGAAGGGCTGGTATGCCCCAGCAGTACTTCATATTATGTGATATAAGCAACAGAGATTATCTGCTGTGTTTTGAAGATTATTTATATGCCTTTACAACTCAACCACTGCTGATAATGTAAGCGGAAATATTAGACCATGTGTGCTTTTATCGAGGAGAAGGAAGTGTTAGCCACTTATGTATTAAAAGAAGGTGCATCTGATTTTATATACATAGAGGTAAGCATCTTTGGATGAAAGATTTGAGCTAGTATATGAATGGTTTAGAAAGAAATAAAGCTGTTTAAGATGCTTCTGGAAGTCAGTAATACCTCATTTGCTCACAACCCTTCCCGTTGCTCAATTTCAGCCTTCAGAAAGCAAAAATTCTTATCTAAGGGAATACCTTTGCTGGAAAAAAGCCAGTAATATTCACATGATTAAAAACTACATTGTCCCCCTCCTTTTTAACAAAGAAGGAGTTTGTGAGGAGTGAAGTTTTACTTTCAGTTGAAAAATAAAGCATTAGCGTAGCTATCTCGACTTTACCCATGCAAGAAAACTGCAAAGCTTAAAGCAGATAACTGTTTGTTACTTTAATTTCTACTACCAGATATGGTGGTTGGTCTTTTGGACGGATGAAAGCATTTGAACTTCCAGATAAAAAATTGAATAACACCAAATCTCAGCCTCTGGCTAAGGTAAGAGTTGCATATATGTGTGCACATCTGTATTGATTACTTTTTCAGACTTCAGATATCACAACACTTAGCAAATAATAAGTTATTACATGAAATCCTTGCACTTGAATAATGGGGAAAAATCCTCTGTCTCTTATAGTATCTCTGTTCTTAATTCTTGAAGTATTCTCTTGTGTTTGAGAAGCAGTTTTAAATTGGTCAAATTATATACCTTTTTTGTTCTTTTGGGGTTTTTTATTTTTCCAGTGAACTCATTTTAGAATTTATGTTTAAAACTTGCTTTTAGATAGTCAGCCAAATAATATTTTCAGTTTGTTTTCTACAAAAAGCCAATGTCAGAATTGGCCAAAGTGCATTGAACATCACAGTAATGGGCTGTTATTGATGCTTTTTCATGACTAAAAGGGATACTTTGCTTCATTTCTCTCACCACCCTCCCTTTAAGAATAAAGATATCTTCTAGGAGCAGCTTCTTCTGCAGAACAAGTATGCTATTCTTTTCTGAAAAGAACCTTTTGAAAACATTCCATGGAAAATAAAATCCCCTGCATTGGTAACTGCTTGTTAGCCTCCAGGTCTCATCCCAAGTTTTCACAATATGGAGACACGGTACCTCTCCACTGTCGGCAGTTCAGAGATGGGACTCCAGGGAATGGCAATGATGAAGTTGATTTATTGATTACAGGGCTCAGGTGATGCAGTCTTACAGCCTTGAATAGAATTTTCCACTACCGAGCAATAACCACATTGTTTATGTTTCTTATCAATATTGCTTAACTACAATCTTTACAGGTGCAGTCTCACATGACTACCTTAAAATAAAACACAACATTCCTTTTCCTTGCCCTCTCAGATCTCTGTCTGAAGTTCTCATGGTTTCTGGCCTACCAGGGCCAAGATGTCCACACCATCAATCAATCAATCAATCAATCAATCAATCAAATCTTCGGTAATCTCTGCTCCACTGGTCATCTGCTCCCCCCATACTCCACCTTTCCTTTTTGCATACCAAAAAGGAAAAGCTCTTTATTTCAGTTGTGCTTAGAATTATCCTTCCTCTTTGCTTTTTGGGATACATTCAAATGTAGATGCATGACAAGGAGAGGAACAGCAGTCTTGGAGAAGTATTGATGCCTATCTCTGATTTTGTATTTGAGGCAAACAAGATTTGTTAAGAGGAAGCTGTGCATTTTTCAGATTCCAGATTAGGATATGAAAGAAACATGCTTCTGCATTGAAATTTTTTTTTATGTAAATATGGATTTTATTTGCTCTTATAAAAAAAAGGAAAATAAAAAACAGCATAAATAAGCTCCATCCCAAAATCCATTTTGAGACTAAGTGTTATAAAAAAATTCACATTTTCTCCAGTCCAATGTCATTTCATGCTTAGTTTTGCAAAATCACTTCCTGTTTCTAATGCCTTTTCTGTATATTTTTTTAAAAATCTCTCTATTTTTTATACAAATCTGAGCATATATAGATTTTAATTTTGGCTATTTGTAATCTCTCTTCTAGTCCCATATATTTCATAGCTTTGAATGCCAGTTCCATCATTCATTCATGAGAAACCTGAAAGTTTTCAGCAAGATTTATTTTTTTTTCTGACTTCCATTTTTTTCCTGTGTATCTTCTAATCATTTTAGACTCTTGTTTTGACATGCTTACACTGTGGTTTTTGTCAGGTCCTTTTTTTTAGTGTGTTTTGTATAGAGCTCCACCTGCCATCAGGACAGGGATAAATTATAGTTATACTTTTAGTAATTAAGCTTCATATTTCTGACCCAAAGCAAATAGTGGAGTAAATTTATAAAGGGAACTGTGTTATCTAAAGCATCTCCTGGAAATGTCTTTCAAATGATGCGATGTCAAGTTATTGCATTAACTTTTCAGTAACTAATGACTATATTTTTACTTTGACCTTTCTGGTTTGTTCATGAGACAGCAAATGTACCATTTACATAGTCTGGTATGCAAGGAAATGAGAAATTTGCATTTGAAGAGAATTACTGTATGATTCACTTCATTTAAGAAAATTTCTGAATCTTTATACATTCTTCTCCAGTACTTGAAAAGCCAACGGCTTTTTTTGTTCAAATTAAAAATATTTATTTAGTAACTATTTTACTCTACCTAATCATACTGTGCTGTATATACTACATACATGGTATATGCATGCACATAAAGAATGTATATATTGCACACAAGAGACAGAATATGTTTATGACATGACAAATATGGCTAATTAAAAACACCGATTATTGGCACTATTGATTGGTGCTATGTAGCAAAAGCACAACTTCTCATATTTTTGTATATATATACATGTAGAATATACATGACTGTATATTCTTTGGCTTCCTTTGGCAATATGGCCAAAAAAAATAGCTTCATAGTTGCTGTTTTTTATAGCATAATGAAATATAAGAAGAACGTGTGGTAATTTTAAACGCTGCCGAAAGGCAAACGGTACTGTTCACTTCTCATTTGGAAAAGTACATTTTTCCAGTCCCGAAGGTTGGGACTTGAGGATTTACAGAACAGTAATTGTATAAGTGTCCAGAGGAAAAAATTAAATCTTTCTAGTTTAATATCAATCATGAATCTGGTCCAGCAATGCCTAGGGACTTCTCTGCTCCTTCTCATCCTTTTTTCTTGATAGGTCAAATGTTAGCTGAAATGTCAGTCTAGCTTTATTCAAGTAAAAGATTACATAATAATGTAAAACATGTCTTCACAGAATTTCAATCTGATATGGTCAGGGGTTATGTTTTTCCTTGGGATATAATTTCCCTTAATATGGATATAATATAAAATAAAATTAAATATAATTATATTGATGTATATAGTTTTCTGTTCCTCAGCCTTTTTCTTCCCTCTGTAAATTATTACCTGTGTGGCCCAAGAGAAACATGAAAGATGTTTCAGCTAGAGCTAATACATTTTCTTTTGTTATATTTTACTTTTGCTAACAATTTTGAGTAATAAACCAGTCTACAGAAAAAAGACCTTAAATGTACCTCCTGATGAAGTGAACAACCTTATATGTCTCTTTTTCCAGTTTATAATAAATTAAATATCCATCTTCAATTTGATTATTTCCTCATGTTTTGATTCAGTTACATAATGCAGCTTGGAGGATAATTCCAATTAGCATGTTACGTATTGAAATATGTTGTTATACACAATGCCCTATTGTGGTATTCATTTGAATACTGGTTGAGTTACTATATTTCAAAGGTGTTCTCTGAACATTTGTGAACTTTTCCCTGCCTGAATTAAATGTGGATGCGTTGTCAGAATTTTGCTTTGTTGTTTTTTAAACTGCCTTTATTTTTCCCAATGCAATAGACATAATTTCAGTGGAGTTTCATTATGTATATATATAAAACTTTCTAATCTGTGAAAACCTTTCAAAAAATGGTAAAATTAGAGATGTGTATATGGGGCTGTGAAAAATACAGCTTACCTTTGATCAATTTGTTTCTGTCTTTTTGCCCTGGTTGCTATATGTGCAGGAGGTCCTGCTGTGCAAAGATTTTTCAGTTTTCTGCAGAAATTTCAAGTTCTCTTTCACTACATTTTGTTAAAGACTGCTCTTGTTGGTTAATGAGTGGGAGATCTAGTATTTATAATAATTTGTGGGAACTGAACTGGAGAAGAGCAAGGGAGTTTCACTACTTTGCAAAGAGGGGAAGATGTTAGGGTTTGTTCTTTTTTCTTTTCTTTATATGTGGGGACATAAGGGTTTGAGACATTTGAGTACCATTACATGGCACATGGAAAATACTTAGGGGATCAGGCCCAGCAAATGTGGATTTAAGAAGAGTGTTAAGGCAATAAAGATGTATATTAAATTCTATTCACTTTGCATTATGATTCAGAATCCAGAGAGACAGTGAGAATTGCCCTACCTAGGATGTACAAAATGCAGAGTACAAACAGCTGATATCAAAGAGGGAAAGGTTAGGAGTTTTTCAACTGTTTAAAAAAAAAGGGGAGAAGGAAAAGTGCTATGATGTAAGGAATGGATAGTAATCAAATGGTTTTAAATGTCACTGAAACTGAAAGTAAACGTGCATAATAATTTGATCCAGTTTTTGGAATGGATAATATAGATTCAAAGGTACTGTGATTAACAATAATGGATGATAAGAATCAATTTCACTGCAGAGGAAACTCAAACCTCAGTATATTTGGTTTTGGGACATATCAAGCTCTCAGCAATGGTTCTAGCAAGTGGAAGTGAGGATTAAGAGTATTTTATCAAGTCAGGGTGAATCTGCATGATCTGTATATGTTACAACACAATTGTTTCCTTGTGGTCTTCAGAGACTGTCTTGCCTTGTCAGCCTTAAAGTTTATCTGCATCAATTTCCTCCATGTTTAACAAGCCACTGATGCTTGTTGGAGATAGCTTTGTCTATGGAACAGCTTCATACCTTGTAAACAGTGCCCCTTCTTGATTCTTTCTTTTCTCTTCTTTCTAGAATATTCTGTTCCTAGATATTTTATGCTGTATCATATGCAGGTATTATTTGGGGAAATCTTTTGGAATTCCAACGATTCTTCCAATTTTAGCATTAGTTTTAGTCATCTTTTTATATTTTTGATCAAACTTGCAGGTGTTGTTTTCACATTGTTCTCCCTCTATTTGTTCAATCACTATGCAAAGGAAGAGGGACACAGTGTTCCATTAAATCAGAGAATCTCAATTTAATAAGAAACATATGTGTACAACTCCAACAATAGAAAACTGCTGCATGCTGTTGAACAACATATGCAAATCAACTGATTTTGTTCTGCCTAGTTGACTTCCTTCTAAAAGTAAATGTCATAACAGAAGAATTACATATCCTTCATGCAATTTTTAAAGGTACATGAGCTTTCAGATCAGCATCCAAATTGAACTAATTTTTGATTGACAATTTCCATTCTTTCTTCCAGGTGTGGTATAACCAAAAAGGTTTCCATTCACTGCCATCCTACTTAAATGAACTCAATAACTTAATTCTGTGGCTGAATTTACCTTCTAATGTGGATTGGAGACAGTATGGTAATAGTTTTGCTTTGCATTTATTCATATATATTGGAAAGTAGTTTTAAAATAAACTATAATACTAGTAATATGAAATTGTTTCAGTTTACAGTAGGATTTCAGAGTCTCATTTCTCTGGAGGGTGTGAAAATTGGAAAAGTGAAAATTTTAATTACACAGAAAGTTTGTATAGAGAATGTACTACACAGTAAGGTAAAATTTGATTTTAAAGCTCAACATGCCATAATGAGTTCCATACAGAGACTTTCCTGTGGAACAAGTAAGTGTAAATTTTTTAAGTAAGTGTGATTTGGGATGTTACTGCCTCTGAAACTACTGCTAGGGCTTAATTCAATGGAATGATTAAGGTACAATATACTATGGATTTATAATTTCTTTGGCACTCTACTATATACAAATATCCAGGGCAAATCCAGATTAGCCTGTAAATTAACACAGCAATGTGATGTTTCATAGCATCCTGTTACTCAAGGAACAGGAAAGGCTACTGTATCTTATTATTGTGCAAAACAAAAAAGCAATTAATATATCTGCTGTGAATTCTCTGATTCAGATATCTCTGAGATCTCTGAACTATATAAAATATTGTGAAAGTAAAAATTTTATGAACTAACATCCCAAAAATGACTGCAGCCAAAGACTCAGCTGTTAACACAGATGAACTTTTAGGATGTGGCAATCTAGTTTGAAATCTGGGCTTTATTAATTCAGAAGTTCAGGTTAACTTCTATTCATTCCAGTTCCTTTCATTCTTTAAAGTCTGTTAAAAAGGAATTGGTTTAAAGACATTTTAAAAGAGATTATGACCAATTTTTAAGAGTACTTATAAATTTAGGATGGTTGTCTGTAATGGTAAAATGAATTTAAGTGTTTTATAATGAAGAAAGAAGACTGAATCAGTGAAAATGGGGAATGAATCCTGAGAAATCTAGAAACAGATTCATTAAGAAAACTTTCTGGAATGTTAAGAAAAAAGAGTAATGTCTTGTTTTCAAGATGGCTGGAGTTTTATTTTACTAAACGAATTATGAGAATGGATCAAAGGTAATGTGTTTACACAAAAACTTTAAATGAAAATTAATCAGATAATGAGAATTTTTAATAGAAATAAGTTTTTAATAATTTTTCACTGAACTTCATGAGTTGCACTGATGCTAGCTTTTTTTCTGTACCATTAGATTACCCATTCTATAACTTAAATGTTTGTGTACCCTTGCTTTTATATCTATCATGGAGGATCAGGGCTTGTTGTCCTGCTTACACTCAGAGAAAATTATATACAGATAGCCCAAAGATTGTAGGAATGATGTATTTTTTGATATTGCATGACACAGAAACACAGCAAGCACAACAGTGCTTAAGAAATACTTCAAGTCTTGTACTAACATTTGTACAAGTATGGGCTCATTGTATAATCTTGTGGCAGAATATGTTAGCTGCCTGCAGAAACAGAGTTTAAGAACTAGAATGTAATTTTTCTATGTCTTCATCTATTGGAGAAGTGCAATAAAGATGGACTGATCATGCTCTTGAAGCATAATGCAGAGGGAACTGTCACAGAAATTCTGGGAAGAGAGGTCAAGTTACCTACCTAGATATCTGTATGTATGTATTTGTTTGAGTACTCATATTTGTATATGTGTCTGCATGTGTATATATATATGCGTGTATTTTTTGCGGAGACCAATACATATGTTTATTTTATTTCTAAAAAACTCAAGAGTTTTCCAGTGCTACATGAGCCACGTGAACTCAGTTCACTTTGACTTTTAACTTTCTCTTATTTGAGGATACTGTTCTAACAGAAAAGAACTATTCATGTAATTCTGTTATTCAAATTGTTATATGCAGTCTTGTAAGTCAGCAGTCAGAAGACCACATACTGTGTTCCAACACTGAAATCTATTATTTTTATTTTTTTTTCCTTCTTTCAAACTCTGTTTATAGACAAGGTCAGTTCTAGAATATTGCTGAAAATTGCTGTGAGGAAGCTTGTTGAGACTTTGCAGAAACATGACTTTATAGATCTGCCTTGCATTAATGACATATTATTTCACAAAGCAACATTTTTCCTGTCAACAGAACCTGTGCTTCTCTATTACTTTTAAGTGACATAAAAATAATTTGGTCCTTTAAAAGGGGCTGTAAGGATGAAGTGTTTTCTTCTTTCACCAAGAAAAAAACCAAAAAAACCCAACCAAACAAAAAAAAAATTGCTTCAGTTGTAAGCAAAAAGCTTACTACAATAGAGTAGTAGCATTGCCATGGATGTAAACACAATAGCAGCCAGCAACTATGATATGGAAACAACCTTGAGTGAGGTCAACAAGATCTGTAACTTGCTTAAGTGCTCATACAAAAGCTAAAAACCCTTTCACTTTGCAGTAATACCCTATGTGTATTTCTTGAACATGAACCCTGCTGGAGTTCTCCCAAGATCTTTGGAGAAGGGAAGAATCCTAACAAACCATATGCTGAGTTCTACCTGATTTATCTGCAAGGAGAAATCCAGTAACTTTTAGTGGAGATCAGTAGCACTGGTCTAAGTTTGTGAGAGGTTTTGATAATAAGTAACTGAGCAGAAGGCTAGTTGCTTTTGTCTAGTCTTTTCTGTAGTCATGAAGATACAGGGAATATAGACTTATGATTTGTTATGGAAGTTTGAAGGAAAAGATTTTACCCAAGAGTATAGAGGACATATGCTGCCTTGCACTGGTTTATATCCATAGGGATTTGTATCTATTCAAAAAGCTTTGAAAAAATTATTGCTTTTTGTTCTGTCAGTCCAAGTTACTAACTCTTTAGCATGCAGCAGAAGGAAATTACATTTATTTAGTGATTGAAAAATCTGTCCTTTTTGCTATTGTGTAATCTGATCTTCAGATACTTTCTCTGCAAAGCAGAGAGATTCCTCCTCACCCCTGTCTCTTAACAATTTGGGATTATTGGTAAACTTTGCAGTGAGTATGCTTGGAAAGTTATAATGTTTGTTTCTTGTAATTTTTATGTAAAGAGTGGTTTTTCTGTTGAAGAAAATGTGTATGCCCAGCTGGAGATGAATGTAACTTGTTGGAGCAACAGAAATATGCCCAATCAGTTTATGTGAATTTATTGTACTTAATGGGTCAGATGTCTCTTTTGAAACAGCAGTAATTTTTTGTATAAAAATGTCATTTTCTCTATCATGTGGATATCCACCCCTACGTTTATCATCATGTAAGTCTGTGACACCATTGTGGGAAAAAGTCAGCTCTCTCAACTGTTGAGGAAATCAAATGCATTCTCTTTCCTAGTGGGTTATAAATTCAGTGGCAGATGATGAAAAGGAACATGTTAATAAATTAATTTAAAAAAAAAGTTTGTAAGACACTTGAACAAAGAAAATAAGATTCTGGAAAGTAAGATGCTGGAATTTTGTCAAAACCCTTTACCTCTGACTGGTATTCTAGCTTGTGACTGATGTTTTCTAATCTCTTCTGAAATGCTGCATTCTTACAACTAAGTAATTTAATTGTGAGCAAATAAAAATGCAATAATAAGAGGAATAAAAACCTAAAAGGCAATATTTTTTGCTTAAGCTTAAGATAGAAATTTTGATCAAGTTCACACCTAATTGTATATCATGGAGTCAAAACATTTTTATCATGCTGGAGTATAGGAAAAGGACTATAATCTCCCTCTTAGGGTAAGACTATATAAAGAAAAAAGGAGTGGTTGTCATCTATAATGGTATCTGTAAAGTAGAGTGGTCAAAAAGGGTTCTTACATCATTGTTCAAAGAACAAAAATGTCTCAATATAAAAGGGCCTTCTGCAATGCGGCTGCCCCATCTTAGGCTTCCTATTGAAGTAATTGATTTTTAAAAAAAACTTTCATACTAGTATTCATTGTAAGATTTCATGTAGCATCCTCATTTATTTCAGGTTCAATTCTTCAATAGAACAGAAGAGATCAAGGGAGTAATTTTCAGCTGAATTTTGGTAGAAAGCGGCTCTATAGTTTCCTGAATGCTTTGCAAATTTTCTTTAAACCCTATTACAAAGGAAACTGTGAAATGGTCTTTGGGTGGAACCTTCTTAACCATGTCTAGTTAGTAGGGAAAACTAAAATAGAAACCATAAATGATGATGATGCTGCCTGTGAAATTCTCCATAAAATATAAATTATAATTTTCAGATAATAGTAATGTCTCATTTTATATATATATATAATTATTTTTTCTTATACATAATATTTTATTTAATCCGCAATAAAATATCTGGAATAAAGAAAGCTAGATTGGTCTTCTATTCAAGTCTGCCACAATCATGGTATTTGAAATCAGTAGCACAGATCTAAACTGATCTATGTATGCAAGACTTAGCTTGACAAAAGAGACAGTTTAAATAGAAGTGCCAAGAGACAGATTCAGGAACACCCAAAATATAGTGCAGAACTACAAAATACACCTAAGGACAGCTCTGACTAATCTACAGTGATGGCATACAAGCTTGAAGAACTTTAAGATTTTTTTCATCTAGATTTCTCCAACTGATACTGAAAAACTATTGCTAGGTTCGTATCGCTTTCCTTTTTTTTGCTGAAAAACCACAAATTTTAAAGTGTGTTTATGTGGCAAGTTGCACCCAGGTGGGATGGACTGGATGACCAATGTCTTTTCTTCTTTACCATGTACAGGATGGGAACATCCAGCTCTCTAAAGTTATGCCAAATTGTGCATGCCTTTATTTTCTGACAGAGGGTCAACTGGTTTAGATATGAGATAAAAGATCTAGAGCACTTTCTCTTGAAGGCACAGATTGCAGACTGTTAATAAGATGTTGGTATAGGGAAAGGTGTCCTGAGTTTTGTAGCTCCTGAACGGCAACAGGGCACAATGTGGAATGTTCACAGCAAACCTGTCTAATGTGGATGCATTTTCCTTTTGCCTGTGAGCTTTTCTATCCAGAATGAAAAAGTATAGTATTTTATTGTAGGAAATGTTACAATCTTTCTAATATTTTATGAAGAATTTCTTTCAATATGTTAGGAATGTCTTTTTAATAAATTAGAACAAATTCTACTTTAGGTTTTGTATTTGGTCTCTTCTGTGATGTAGAATCTGTAGCAATATATAGCATTGTTCAACCAATTTCTGAACTTCAGAATGCAGAAAAGCAACTACTTCTTATATTTGTTCATTAGTTTTTAGTGGTTCCAAACTCTGTAAATCACTCAATGGGAGACACAGTTTGGTTTTGGAGACTGGTGTTTGATCTCTTTTCTATTGATTACTAAGTATTTAGCCTTTTTATTCATACATGTAACAAGTGTTAACAGTGTACTCCAGAACTTGAAGACCTTATTATTCCTTAATATTTCATGATCTACTTTTCTTTTCACAGGGATAACACTCTATAGCCAACCATATGGAGGAGCCTTGTTGGATGAGGATAAAATGTGAGCAAACTCTTAAAATGTTTCACAGCAACAATCATCAGACAATTGAAACTATCAATTAAATAAGAATATGTTTCCTGGAATAGATGCTGTGAATTGATAGACACAATTCAGTTCTACTGAGTGAAGCATTTTTTAGTGTGGTCTGTCTGTCAGGTCCACTGTCCATACCAAAAATGATTGCAGTATTTTGTAAAAAAAAAGTATTGAATTTATGCTGATTGTGTCATAACAGTTTTAAACAGGGTAACTGTTTCAAATGATTTTTGAGGGTTTAAATTTTAGTTTTCTGTAAAGGGGAAATATTTACATAAGCTTCGTTTTACAACTCATATACATGCTGTGCTCTGTAACTTACCTATAGTTTTGTAACTTCAAACATCTTTTTCCTGTTCTTTAATTACATGTTGACAGTTTAGAGACATTTTGTCCCTGCTCATTCCAGGGTGTTGACAATCCTTAAGGTCCTTTCCAACCCAAACAATTCTGTGATTCTATGGTGTTTAAAATCAGGATTAAGGTCCTACTGTCTAATGTTTTGGTAAGAAGTTGGCCTGAAAAATGCTAACATTAGCTAGTTTTTCCCCACTGTGTTTTCATTGCACTATTTTGCTTTTTACCCTAGAATGGAGAATGTTCGTCAATGTGGGGTAGCACTGTGTATCATGCTGGGTTTCTCTATCCTTACTGCATCCATTGGAACTGCCATAGTCAAAGACAGAGTATCTGGGATGAAACGCTTGCAACACATCACAGGCCTTGGTTACAAAACTTACTGGCTTGGTAACTTCTGCTATGATATGGTATGTATTATGTAGAGCAGCATGTGCTCAGGTGTAAATTTTAGGCTAGTTTCTTATAAATGAGCAAAAGGAGATATGGTCATAAGATACACGAATAAGACTTGTGCAAAGGGACAGCTCTTGGCTGACATGTTAAACATGAAGTCACCATTCCTACTTTTATGCAGGGTGGGGATTGTGATCCTTGCTTCCCAAAGTTGAATTGTAAATGATTTTCTAGCTTTAGCTATGTACACTGTTTTACAAATAAAAGGAAGTTGGCTAATCAGCCTGTACAGAGTCTTCCACACAGCAGCTCATAGCAGTAATTTCTGTGCTTTGAATTTTGCCATGTACTGGCAAAACCTTAGAAATTAGTGGAGAAAACTGAAAATACTAGTCAGCTACTTTAAGGGATAATTGTGTTACATATTGTTGTGGATAATATGAGAGATACTTATGATCAGTACCTTTTATTTGTGTCAAGCAGTGGAAGAGGCAGCAAAAGGAAGTGGTGGAGTCACCATCCCTCGCAGCATTTAAAAGCAATATAGATATGGCACTGAGGGATATGATTTAGTAGTACTTGGCAGCGCTGGATTAATGGTTGGAACTGATATTCTTAAGGTCCTTTCCAATCTTTAGGTTGGATTCTATGATACCTTGGTCAGGAACAGAAATTTTTGGAACACTCTGTTTTCATTTAGACCATTCTAATTCTGAAATATTAGATGTTCACACATCCATGCTTGAAATCAGAAGAATTTTCATACTTGAGCAAACTTGAGATAAGAGCACATTTTTCCAAATGTTATTTACTTGGCCAGTCAATCTTGGTATTTCTTTTTTCTGCTGCTTCAGATAAGAAGGCTTGGTTAAAAACAGTCCAAGGTTAAACTCTTTGTGAGCAAAGTCAACTCCTCATTATTTTCTGCCAATCTCTCAAAATGTTCTCAAAAATTCAACACAGTACTGCATGATCAATCATGACGTGGGAAAGAGCAGACACTGCTTTAAATGCTAATTGTGCTGCAGATCATTTAGGGACACTGAACACATGAATATATGAACTGTCAAATTTTAAATCCCTCTACATATTTTAAGTATTACAGGCTGTGTCCAGTATTACTGGTAGCAGAATCTTTACTTGGCCTGCAGAAGGATTTGACTTAAGAAATTGGTCTCATGAGAATCAGGCCGTTCCTGCTGTTTTATAGGCATGAATAATATTCATTACTACATTCAACAAATGGAAAAAGTGCAAGTGCTAAGAAGATTTAAAGAGAAATAGAGACATTTTATTAAGTTTGTGTCACTAGAGGGGTAAAATTATTTTGTTGTACATGCACAACTTCTGCAATACATTATGATTTCTTGGTAAGATTTCCAATATAATATGATTTTAAAGTTATTTATTTACTTCTAGACAGAAGCCCCAGGTCTATTGAAAATTACTGGGACTCAAATGTTTTGTGGCTTTTCTACAATCTTTTAAAACAGCTTCAGGATAAATGAAGCATATATCTGTGGGTGGTATGTTATACTTCTGTATGGCAAAGAAAAGGTACACTGTGAATAAGATGAGAACATTGCATCCATCTGCATTTTACTCCATTGCCCTTCTCTTAAAAAAAAGTATGTTTTCCCAGTAGCAAAGACATGCCCTCTGGTTTAATTTGGAACTAGTTTTCATTGTACTTCAATATGAAAGTCTAATTTTAACAGTATGTTGTTCTTATACACTGAATATTTAGGTGGACCTTGATTTGTTGCCTCTATTGCAGTTGTATCTCAGAATTTCAGTTCTGTTAGGTTAAAGCTATAAAGCTAAATTATAATAAGCTTATATATAAGCTTTTTACATAAGCAGAAATGGAGGCAGTCAGCACCCTAGTGAACTCAGGTTCAGTGCACAGAGCAGGCGGACACTGAAAATGAAGCTGAGTACATATTTTCAATTCCTGATGTTGCTATTTTCAAGCAGAACCCCTCTCTCTTGAATATTTGGATATTAATCTCCTGTACCAATCCCACCCTGCCACCCTTAAGTATTTGGTTGCCATTAAATCAAGAGACAAAACAGAGAAACTGCTTTCCCTGTTGCCTAGTGGCTGTAAAGGTTTTATATATTTTGTCCATTCCCAGTAAAAGATGTAATTTGCTTCATCAGCACATATGGTCCTTCATTAAAATCTCTTTTAAAATTGCATCATTATCATTCACCCATATGAATGCAGCACCAATCAGTGAAACTGCTGTTTCTGAAACCAAGCCTCTCTATTCACAGTGTAATTTGATATTTTGGAGCAATAGCCCCACATGGATTCATTATCTGCAAGAGTTGGCTTGATAAATGGATGTATTGGAAAGGTCAATAGAAATAGGATTAAGGTGGATATTCTGTAGTCAGATGGTATCATGTCAGGTTGTTTCACCTGTAGGAGGCAGTTTCACAGCAAGTACGGACTATCAAATCTCCAAACTCTTCTGCCTATTTCTTCCTAACTTATGATTGTATTGCAAGTATGGAGAAATTAATTTTTAATACCTTTCAATGCAAATTAGTTAGACCAATAAGAGATGCTCACCTGCTCAATGTTTTTCTTCCTTCTGTTTCTAGGTGTTTTACATGGTTCCAGTGACTCTGTGTATTGGTATTATTAGTGCCTTCCAGCTATCAGCCTTCACTTTCCAAAAGAACTTGGCAGCCACTGTTCTCCTGCTGATACTCTATGGGTATGTGATTGGAAATGGTACTGTGGAATTACAGCTTTTAAGAAACAAACATGAATCTTTAGATGTAGTTTGCACCTGCTGCTGGATGCATGGTTTTCTGTCTTTGTAAGTGATTATGCTTCAGAAAAATATAGTAAGAAAACACACTGAAACATGAGTTTGAAAATTAAACACAAAAAGTGGAGTGAGATTTTCTCACACCCCAAGCAACCAATGAAACAAAACAACAAAAAAACCAATCCTGTTATAGAAGGTTAAAATAACTGGTTAAACAGAGGACTGATATCTCTATAAAAGTAAGCGTGTTCAGCCCTGGGATCAAACAAATTAATAGTGTATTCTGTTGTCTCACTAGAGGGAAAAAATTAAAGTTCTTTTGTTGTACATGCACAACTTATGTAATACACAATGATTTCAGGGTAAGATTTCCGAAAGAGTTTGATTTTAAAGTTATTTATTTACTTAAAGACAGAAGCCCCAGGTCAGTTGAAACATACTGGGGCTCAACTCATACTGGGACATACAGATCTTCCCATGTGCTGTCTAAGGTGATGTTAGAAATGCTGAGGATGAATTTTTAAAGGAAAAAGCTTCTGAGAAGTTTATTTTTACTTATTTCAAGTAACTAATTGTTGCTACTCTCGTAGGGGAGAGTGCATATCTTACATGACAGATATTTAGATAATGTTTAGCTAATAGCTGCTTCATGAGAGGATGGTAGAGAATGAAAGAAGAAAGAACTTTCTACAACATCAGGACATACTCAATTCCAGTAAGAGTCTTGGATAAACCCTTCAAAAAACCTCCCAACTTAATATATTGCACCTTGAAACTGTTTTCAAGGTTTTGTGCCTTGAGCAACTCAATTTTTTGAAAACTGTTTAGGTATCCACAAAGCTGGATCTTTTCTTTGAAATTCTAGCCTAAGTTTATTCAGAACCAGACTTCGTAATTGTCCTTCATCAAATGCCCTTTGCAAGCCATAACAAGCCAAGTCCTCTCTTGTAAAACCTTCCAAATTCCTTGCATAATTCTATTTAGTATTTTTACTTAGAGTACCAGTTTGAGCTCATCTTTCAGGATGTGAATAACCAAACTAGCAAGAAATATTCTAGAGGTCATGATGCTAGGCTGTTGTAAATAACATGTGTGAAACATCCAAAGTTCACCATTTCCTTCTCTCTGTATCTTGTGTACAACCCTCACTTCCTTTCTTCTGCACTTCCTTCAAGTGATTCCTTCAAGTTAAAGGCACAAATTCTAACCAGTCTTAGTGCAAAGGTTTCGTGCTATGAAATCTCACACCTTTTCTTTTATTAGCTTTACAACCATTGAATCCTTCTTGTGATCCAGTTGCTGTCATATTAGCAAGGCATAGGCTTCTGTAGGAATCTTAGCCAAGCAACAATTGAAGCGCATAGTACAGACCTTTATGTCTATTGAAGTCATAATATGTTCTTTCTGATGTGCTATGGGCCTTGGCCCTGCTCACAGTGTACTATCAAGTGCCAGTTATGCTGGCATTGTTTTAAACAAAATGTTGAGGTAAACTTCGAGTATTTTAGAAAAAAAGTCATTGAATGAAAATGGATCTTATTTTGTTGACTGCAGATGCAGCTTAATCAGCTCAATATAACCCCTAGTTATATATATAACCTCTAGTGTTCAACTCTGGCTGATATAACAGATGTTGCAGTGATTTTTAACAAGAAAATCTGTGTATTCAATGTGTATTATGTGTATTAACATATATTAAAGATCCAAAAACTGTCTGTAAGTTTAACATGTCTCAAGGACATTGATAAGCTTCAGAGTAGCCATTTTTCCTAATCTACACTTTATTCAGCCTAAGTACACTGTAAATGTGATGAAGCCTATTGTGGCCATTTTATTCTTCCCCAGTACTGTGCATATAATCCTCAGTCATATGCATGCCATTATCATCTGCGTTTTTTTCCTTTAAAAATGTTTTTTTCCACTTCAGGGTACATTTGTGCAGATTTTCTTGTCTAGGACAAAGAAATAGCCCAGATATATAAAAAAGTTAAAGAGATGAGGGTGTGCTGGAAAGAATAATCAAGTTACTTAGTTTGCTACTTTAAAAGTGATTTCCTTAAAAGTGTAACTAAACTACATCTTTCGCTTTTAGATGATTGCAGAGATGTTTTCTAGTCCAAATGCTAAAGCAGTTTTGTCCAAAATGTTCTGTCCTTTATACTTAGAAAATACTAAATTGCAACGGCAGCTGAAGGAAGAAAAAGAGGATAGAAATGTAGCTGTGACTGGCTGCAACTTTAAAGGCTACATTTGAACATCATATAATTTTAGGATTCTGAAAGTCTTACTCATTTCTTAGCAGCTATAAGCAAACAAATCAAATTTTGCTTTCATTTACAGCAGGGCAACAGCACTGTAAATCATGTCTCTTTCCTGAGCTGTTTCCAAGGATGGACTTTTATTTATGATATTGTTATTCTGAGAATAGTGATTTTGGTATGTGCATGAAGGGAAGAAAAGATTGTGTGATTAAGACTGGCAAAAGGATGCTGAAAAGTAGAGTGGGATCCTGAATACTTACAATTTCATTTGAGACTCAAACATTGAGTCATTTAACCTTTATCTTCCTGTAAACTGAATATAACATTATTATTACTTCCCCAGCAGGATTTGCAAGTTTGTTTTTTAAGGTTTTGGCATTCTCCAATGCAAATGATTAATCTACAAAGTACAAAATGCTAAATTCAAAAGGGACTTCTACTTAATTTAGTAATCTAAACTACACTTTAAGGCAATGAAGAAGTGAATTCACAGATTTTTGGCTAATTGCTCCTGCATTGAGCTCACTATTAAACCAGTTATACATATTAATATTATATAGGAAGTGTTTATATATACACTGCACCTACCCTTTTCATTGTACAACAGTGTATGGTGATACCTATGCTCCTGTAGTCCATACTGCTTGTTTGATAGATATATCTTGCATTATGTTGAATGAAAAATAAGTTTTCTTTACATGTCATGCATGCTCTGATTGCCTGGGCCTTGTTTTAATCTTTATAAACATCTCTTTATAAATAAAAACATGTGCATGTGCATGCTCCATTCTGGATAGGCATCCTTTAACTTGTCATAATGGAGGTGCCTTCCTCCTTCCTTTAAAGATTCTCACTGAAGATGGTGTAGTCATAGACATGCTGTCTTATCCTCATAGTTTTATGCACTCATTTTTGATACCTATTACTCTACTGACAACCTGGTTAAGGTAATAACATGGTCTGAGGATTTTTCAATTTTTACATATCACTGGCACAATATACTAGTTCCAGTTCAAAAATTGTTTTTTACTTCTTTTTATTCTCTTTGCTTACTACCTTATTTTTTTTTTCTTTCTATGAAAGCCTCTCAGAAAAGATAACTGCTCAGCATCCATGATTTAAGCTTTAAATATTTGGTTTTAATTCTATATCTGTATAAAAGGTGCATGGGTTTGCAATCATTCAGAAATCAGGACTGCAAGCTGTCTGGAACAATCAAAGTAAATATCTGCAGCTCATATATGCAAAAATGGATCATATCTGCAGATAACATGGCAGTAAATATGTGTACATCTAAGGAAGTATAAGCCCATTTTTTAAAGAATATGTGTTCCAGATTTGTCCGTTTTTTCAATCATTTGTTCTGAAGAGTTGTTTGCCTGCCTTAAAAATAAGAAACAATAATTGCAGTTTTTCTAGTGTGATAACTGACTTTTTTGGGGGTGGTGAGGCAAAAACATAACTTACTCGTGACAGTTTTGTTTCTTTAAACCTTCAGATATGCAACTTTACCTTGGATGTATCTTGCATCAAGATTCTTCTCAAGTTCAGATGTAGCTTTTATTTCTTACATCTCCTTAAATTTTGTGTTTGGCCTGTGTACCATGCTGGTGACTCTCTTACCTCGCTTGTTAGCTATAATTTCCAAAGTGCAGGTCAGTATAAAATCTTTCATTTACCTATTTCATAACTGAAATGTATACACAAACATACATACATATATATATTTAAAAATGTTCTTATGTGTGTTTATATATTTATATAGATAAGATTTTTCCAGAAAAAAAACTTATGGTTTTTAAATATTAATGGTTTTTCTGTCCTAGAATATACTGTATTGACTTACCATCTTGAATTACTTGTCTGTAACCCAAAAAAGCATGCTGTAATAATGGAAAAACAGTGTTAATTGAACTTTCACATTTTCTAGACCATTAAGTTGTAATTGGCACATAAATGGAGCTGTTCTGGTCCATTAAATAGATTATGTACATTGTAAAATGTGTTTGAATGATATTGACATAAGACATAAACTGCATATTCCTAGGATTATTAATGTATTGTATGAATAGTAATTTATACAGTGCATTCTCACTCCTTGTGTGTAATTTTAATTAGTCATAATGGTATTTAAACAACTTGAGGGAAAGGAGTTCCAGAATGCTTATGGCTCTTTTCATGTACAGATCAAAAACTTGATGTTTGAAGTCAAATCTGGATTATGTGTCATGCAAGTGTGTAAAAAATTCTGTATTCACTTGGGTTTAAGTGTTCAAATATTAAAATACTAAGGAAATAGAACAATCATGGCTATATGTGTTTTGATACCCTCAGTGAAATTCTACTAAGAATGCCATGGCTGTACAAAGTCTAAAATGCAATATGATATGAACCCTGTCCCCAAAATAGTTCACAATATGCACTTTAGATTTCAGTTTACCATGAAATATGAATGCAGTATCCAGTTTTGCAAGTGTGCTTATTAGGCTGTTCGAGAAAACTAATTTTTTTTTCTTTTTTCTTTATTCTCCTCAATCCTTGCCGCATCTTAATGCAGAGTTTTCAAAGCATCTACAATATCCTCAAATGGGCATTCATCATATTCCCACAATTCTGCCTAGGCCAGGGTTTAATAGAGCTTTCATACAATCAGATCAAATTTGACCTGACCAGGAACTTTGGAATAGATTCTTACGTGAGCCCCTTTGAGATGGATTTCCTGGGTTGGATTTTTGTGGAAATGTCCCTTCAGGGAACACTACTACTTCTTTTACGCCTTTTCCTTCATTGGGATCTCCTCTGGAAAACAAGGTGCGTTATCATTTGTATTCTGCCACAGTGGGTATTGATCTAATTTTTGGAGAAAGAAAATGGTATGTTCTTTTGAACAAATGAAGATAAATACTTCGACAACATGGTGTGCCTAAATTAATGTAAACTACAGAAAAAATACAAGGAGGTTTTTTTCCCTTGAATTCTGATGAGAATTGATCACTAAGTGCTAAGGGTTTACAATCAGGAAAATAAGAGTTATACAGAGTGCAGCAACGACCAATTTGCAATATATCACTTACTATCATCCTCTGTTGTAGAGGTCATTGCTCAGTTAACAGCATGGACGGAATGGAGAGCCCTTCAGAAGATGCTGATGTAGAAATGGAACGACAGAGACTCTTCAGTGGAAGAACTGGTAATGATGTCCTACTTCTGTACAACCTCAGGAAGTGTTATGGAGGTTTCAGTAAGAAGAACACAGCTGTGGAAAACATAAGCTTGGGCATATCAAGAGGAGAGGTAAAGGGTCTTCTTTTCCCCTTTTATAAAGTAACACTTTATTCTGAGCAATTGTTGATACATACTCAGTGTGTCTGCAGTGAAAGGCCTGTAGGTAGCAGCAGAAAAAATTAAATTGTAATAATTTCTGAAAATCAATAACTGGATAAAAGCAGAAACTCAGGTGGTGCTGAAGAAGCAACTGTTAATTTATTTTTTGGTTAAACATTCAGCAGTCTTAATTTTTTTTACTTCTTGCTTATCTTTACCAAATTGCTGTATTATATGCTAACATAAAAACAAGTAAGGTAACATAGTAGTTTAGTGTTCAAAGAGAAAACATATTACCCAACTCAATAGCAAACTATGGACTGAATTCTGAATTTGTTACCACAGCACATTTTTAGTACCTGTTGGGCTGAAAATAACAAGGGATGGTACCACCATTGCGATAAAGGTGATTTATTGCTCAGATATATCAGATAAGGCATCAGTCTCAAAGGCATAAGAATTGGAGGAGCAACAAGTCAGCCATAGTTCAAAGGTTTCCACATTACACAGCAATAGGTAACATTTTGGTCCAATAGACAGTTGACATTGAGTTTGTTTTTACTTAATTACCCATCACCTTTGCTAAGTTCTGCTGCACAGCATCTGTTTTTCAGCCAATAGACTGTTAGGTCACATCAACACATCTTACCTAATACACTTACTTACTTATGGCATATTCTTAGTTGCATTTATAGGAACGTAAGTTTTTGACTTCTCTAGTTAATGTCTGTGTACCTTTACTATTACATTAATCCAAGCTCATTCCAAGGCTGCAAATTAAACCCTTCAGTATCAGTGGAAGTTTCTATTTTTCCATTCCCCACAAGTACCCACCACAGTACATTTGAATATAGCATTTACAAATAAACTGTTTCAATAAATTGAAATTTAGTGCTGAACATGTTTGTGCTTGGGGGCTCTTTATTCATTATTAGGATGGTTTGGGGAATTATAGATATTAATTTCAAAACTACTGATAAAGAAAAGATGTTTCTTGGTTGCTAATGTAAAATTGGAAGATCTGAGAAACTTGCACATGGCAGCACAGATGCAGTGATATCCTGCTGCTTACTGATCAGCTGTTGTTGTAACTGAGATAACCAGAAGTATGTTATTGTAGATTAAAACCTATCAATAAGAAAGTTTATGAAAAAAGTATTTCAAAATCATAAACGGCTATGGGTAGACTTAATATGAATCCTATCCTATCTTAAGCATTAAGTTATTGCACCTAGAAACCTGAAATAAGTGTTCAAAATGAGTCCGTCTCTTGGATGTTTGGTGTTCACTTGTACAGAGTGAAGCAGCTCATGAGAAGCTTGGAAGTATGGACTGATATCCAGGGTTTGGAAGTAGGACCTAAAATCCTCCTATTGAAATGTAGCATTTACTAATAGTACAGATAAATAATGAGTTTAATTGTTGGTCAGGGTTTTAAGAGGAAGGCTAGAATCCTAAATAAGAAACTTCTAGTAATTGAGGGTCAAAATATGATATGTATGGGGTTTTTTTAAACTAATTTTTTGTGGGAAAGGGAATTTGCACACACATTACATCCATATAGTTTCTTATAGACATATAATAGGAAATGTGGGAAGTGGAGAAATTTGAAGGGGTAATATTTCTTATTTTTTTCAGTACAGCATATTTTTTGTATTATTATGATTGTTATTATTACTATTATTGTTATTATTATTATTATATCTCTGATAGTGTTTTGGACTCCTGGGAACAAATGGAGCTGGGAAAAGCACAACATTTAAGATGCTGACTGGAGATATAATCCCATCTGCAGGACGGGCTGTAATCAGGACTCCTACTGGGTAAGTAACACGTGGTTTAATCAGAATAGTGCTAATTGATAATGCACATGATCAAAGACTCAGCACATCTTCAGTCCTTTATACTGTACTCTGGGGACCTATTTTGTTCCCTTTTAAATGTATATTGCTTTGTTGCTGTTAAGTCCCTGTGGAAAAGTATTTTAGCGTTATTTAATTCTGTTTGATAGCTCTGTCAATTTAGAATAAATTTGTCTGGTAGCAAAACAGAAACTCTACTTAACATACATCCTTTTAAAACTTGTAAAACAACATTAACATATGTTCAACTGCATGGAAATATTTCCCCCATACAAATACTGCATTGAAAGTTTTCCAGGCTTAGGAAGACAATCAGTGCTTCAAGTGGGTAATTTTAAAATATTTTCTTACACTTACGTACTTCAGAGTAATTAATTAATTAGTTGATCAATATATTATGTAATTAGGGTAAGAGGTAGTATTGGTGAGATTTATCATTCTGATGGAGTGATAAAAGAATAATGTACTTTGGGTTAGATATAACCAATACTTTTCATTTTTCCTAGCAAAATTAGAGGGGAAAGAAAGTAATTTTCTTCAGTCAGTAGTAAATATGTATATGCACACATAAAAATCGATTTGGGACTTTTCCTAAAGGATGTACATTTCAAAATATTTTTTGGACAAGGACAGGTCAAGAGTTTAATTAAGAAATTTTTAAAGGAAACATTTTTAAATTTTCAAAATGGTAAGTTGCGTTTCTTTGGTTTAGAAATCAAATGCTTTCATAGGTCAGTGTTTCCTTACTTCACAGAGATAATGATCATCAGATTTAACTTCAAAGAATAAGTAGTTTCAGTCTTTGCAAAATTCAGTTTTCTGGAAAATTTGCACCTTTGAAACAGACAATATCATCACTATGAAACATAATTTTACTTCCGTGTGTTTTTTCATTATTTTTTATAGCAAATCATAAAAAATGATGATCAGAAAGCAGAAATTATTTTAAAAAAACAAACAGATTTTGGAAAAATTATTCTTAAGAGTAGAAGTGGTGTGAGTGAGACTTCTAGGTGGTTGTTTTTGTTTATAATTTTCCAGAATTTTTCATTTTTATACTTTTCTGTCTTAAACAAAACTAAAAATAACAGAAGTGATTTAAAATTAGATAAAAATCAATGTTTATTATTCTTTGGAACTGATGGATGACTGTACCAGGATATGACAGAGGTCAGAGGTTTATAGCACAAGTCAGAAGAAGATTCCAGATTTGGAGAAATAAAATTATCTGTAATTTTTTTGTTTTTTTAAATAAAATATTGCCATTGGGACATTTAAGTTCCCATGTTTTGTTTAGATTCTGAGTAGTGTTTTACTGTGGATTTTACTGCTGCTTGCCTTAGGTCCCACCTGTGCATTCACGGATCACATATGGCTGTTCCTGTGCAATGTGGTCTCAGGTCTGTATTTGGGCAAATGATTTGAGCTGGTGTAACAATTCTAAAATTTTAACATCTACTTGAAATCAAATATAAAATTTTAAGAATATAATTCATTATTATATATATATAGACACTTACAATATATATAATATATAGTATTTCTGACTATTATATATATTTTTAGAACCCCTTAAGATAATTAAAAAAAAAATAAATTAAGAAACGATTTAACAATGCCTGGACTCCTTTTATCAGTTGTGTTGCTATGTACCTGTCATTAAACAGATAAAAATGCTTCTGAGGTCAACTTTAGTGTGCTAATGACTTTTGATGGTAGGCTAAATGCTGTCCCTGGACATTGTGTGTGTCACTTTCATTTCCCATACTATGTTTTATAAATCCAACATGAAAGCATATATTAATATACAGTGTTATTTACCTGTCTTGGTTCTAGAAGACAGGTGTCTGCTAGGGAAAGCAGGAGCCTCCCTTTTCTTAAAAACGAGATTCACTTAATAAATTATAAAAATAATTTAATATAAACAAAATACAATTAGGAGACAAAAGAAATAAAGCAAAGGGTTAAAACGGCCGGGTGCCCTGGCACCTTGCCAGGAACACACCTGGTATTTCGGGGACCTCTCTTTTATGCCCCCCTGTTGTGAAGGCTTAATGCATATTCAAAGCGTCCCCTCCCTGGTTCCGCCTTCTTAGATCATGCTTTTGTACAATTTTTATTTTCTGCTGGTCAGCATTTATTTTTGCTGGTCATCATTATTCTAGCTGATGAGCATTATTTTGGAGTTTGGTTTCCTTTCTTTTGCACATGGTCACTTGTTGATAACAGTCCAGGCCCCTCATCCTTCCCCTGAGGGCAGCTGGTCTTCATATCTTCCGCTGATAACAGTTTGGGTTCTATTGTTCTCCTGATAACAGCTTGGGCCCCAGTGTCCTTGCCCTCTGGGGTTTCTTTGCCTTGTACCTAGGAAATCTTTTTAAACCTAAGACTTGTTAGCAAAAAAGTACATACATAGCTAAAAAGTATTTAATATATAATATTCATCTGCGAAAGCCAATATCACAATACAAATTTATAACACTTGGGATGAAAGAATGTAGACCCCCCTCCCTCCGAATTATTATAAATTTGAAATCAAGGGGGCTTTCAGGCAGAGATCTGGGGATAGGAATAACAGTTCTTTACTAGTACAACCAGGCAAACAAACAAAAAATAACTACAGCAATAACAAGAACACAGAACCAGGGACCCCGGGACAGCTTTCTCGGCTGAGATGGGATGGAGGAGAGGCTTTGTTTCACAAACCCCCTCGGGCAGTCAGTCCCGGTGCTCCTGCAGGGCTCTGAGGAACACTCAGCTGGAACAGCAGGGACGAGCTGAGATCCTGGGCTGGTGGCTGAGGTGGAGCAGCATCTCCGCGGCGGTGCCTGGCACTGCCACACGTCCCGGCAGGACAGGGGGTGCGAGGCCACCAACAAAGAGGGAAGAAGGAGAAGAAACAGCAACCCCGTCTGCGTGATGGCGAAATTCTCTTCTCTCTACCGCAGCAGCTCCGCGACCCAGCAAAACCAACCTCCTTCCCCAAAGCCAGGGAAAAAAAAAAAAAAGACAGCCCAAAAACTGTCCCCACCCTTTTTTTCTGCCCCCTTCCCCCCCCCCCGCCAACCCTGGGCCCGGCCACTCTTTGTCCTTTTCGAGCACCCCTAAGTACCGGTAGTTAGGTTGTCCCAGCACATAATGGGTAAAAATTCCATGGGCAGGCCAGAACGACAAAACAAAAAAAGGACACCTAACCCTCAACATTACCATATACTAAAACATAGGTAATGAAATTTGACACATTTAGGTGGCTTGAGAGAAAGTCTTCGACAATTGAATTTCAGTGTTTAAAATACCCTTGACAACATTAATTATCACATTGTATTATGGTGGTGCCAATCGAGTTTATAGATTTTTTGTGTTTGCAGGGGCTGAAGTGAGTGCAAATCCCATATTCTCAATTTTTCAAAGCTTAACCCTAATTCATGAAGGCAACCTTAAGCAAGAGCTGCTATTATATAGTAGCTAAACTTAGAGAAATGAACAATTTGAGGCTGTGAGAAGAAATTTATGACCCTCCTGACTTTGTTCCTTGCTTCATATTTTGGAAATTATTGTTGAGCAGATCATGGTGCATTGTGTTGCAGTCCTCCTGAAAATCACTAAGAGGCAAATTTGCTGGCTCTTCCTGAGGTGAGATGGTAACTGCAACAAGTCTGGAGAACCATACCTCATTAGCTAAGAATGACTAAAATTACTAAGCGCAGGGAACTTTAGGTGGATTGATTTGTATTTATGACTTTATTTATTACATAAATATTTATGTATTTATGTATTTATTGATATGTATTTAATGAAGAAAGGGGGATATTATGGTAAGAAGGTTCTCCTTTTCTTACTCTGGTAGTGTACTCAGAAGCCTGATGTTCCTGGCACAGGAATGTCCCGATGGCAATATTTTATTTAAAAAAACAAAAAAAATTACAGATTATTTTATTTCTCCAAATCTGGAATCTTCTTCTGACTTGTGCTATAAACCTCTGACCTCCATCATATCCTGGTACAAAGTCATCCATCAGTTCCAAAGAATAATAGACATTGATTTTTATCTAATTTTAAATCACTTCTGTTATTTTTAATTTTGTTTAATGTCTGAAAAATTTTGTCTTGTGTTTAAGACAGAAAAGTATAAAAATGAAAAATTCTGGAAAATTATAAACAAAAACAACCATCTACAAGTCTCACTCACACCACTTCTTCTACTCTTAAGAATAATTTTTCCAGCCAGCAGAAAAAAAGCAGCTGCTGATCACAGCTGCAGGACATTTCTTGGTCAGCAGATACAGATTTTTTGTTTAAAATTCACATAATGAAGGAGATTCCATAAAAAACATTTTGACTGGAAAGAATACATCTTTTGTCCTCCGTCACTGTGAAAGGACCATATACTCTGAGGGGTCCTTCAGAGAATCATAAAATGGTTTGGGTTGGAAGGGACCTTTGAGATCATGTAGTTCCAAACCCCCTCCATGGGCAGGGACACCTTCCACTAGACCAGTTTAACTAAAGTTACATCTAACCTTGAACACTTCCAGAGATACAGCATCTACAGCTTCTCAGGGCAACCTGTCCCCAAGACTCACCACCCTCACAGTCAAGAATTTATTCATAACATCTAATCTAACCCTACCTTGGTGATGTATTCTTTATGATGAAAAAATTGAGTATGTAAAATTAGTATTATAAACATTGGAGAATCTAACTAATTTTATTACATGCAGGGCATCCTTAATTCATAACAGTTTCCATTTCCTTGAATAAATATGCTTGAAAGTTTCTGGTTTAAAAACAAATTAAAAAACAAAACAAATCCATGCATGTATTTTCCTGATTGATACTGAATTTATAATGAAGTCAGGAGTGTATTTTTGAGGCAGGTGCACTGATAATGGCCTTGAATTTTATTGGAAAGATATTGCATCTTGGAACAACATGAATTCTAGAAATGGAAGATGGAATTT